ACGAGAGAGGCGCCGGATCCAGCCACGGGTGTCGGAAGCGCTGCACGACCCCCGCCGCCCACTGCAACAGGTTCTTCACGCCCACGCCGCCTTCCGAACCGCCCTCGGTGCCGCCCTGGAGCTCGTCTCGCTCGTGGGCGGCGGGCAGGATCGGGCGGCTCGTGCTGTTGCTGGCGTTCAGGACGGCGTTTTTGCTGCCCCGTCTGCTGCTCGAGTTCCTGCTGGAGCGCCTGCTGCTCGACCTGCTCATGGTTAAGCGGGACAGCAGGGAGAGCGCGCGGCCTCCTCCTCCTCCTCCTCCTCCACCGCCCGCCTCCTCCACCACCTCCTCCTCCTCCTCCACTCACGCTGTCATTCATGTTGCTCCCGACGCCCAGGGAGTTCCTCGATCCTCCTGAGACGCGCATCCCCCCCTTCGGCGCCCTCACACACAGTCACGACCACAAAGCTGTCTTTCTACTCCTCGGGGGCGCTACGTGGCCTCCTCGGGGCGCCGCATCCTCCTAAACTTGGCCTCTGTGGCCTTGGGCGAGGCCAGGGACCCCGACATAAGCGTCCCCGTACACCACTTTTATGAGTCGCAGCCAACGGCACCGTGAGGCTGCGCCGAGCTTCGTCGCGGGCACACGAGAGGCCCTCCGCTGCACTCGCCTCCCGAAGGCGTCGCTTCAGTTTCCAAAGGCACACGCCAGCTTGCTCTCTGTCTGCTCGAGCTGCTCCACCGCACACGCAGGGCGGAGTCAGACGACACCCCTCGAGACGAGGCCACACTCCACCTCCGCCTTCACTCCTCCTGCTTCGGCGACACAATGGAGACCACGCGTTCGACGGGTTAGCCTCGACGCACAGGTGGGTGGCCTCTCGCCGCCGCCCGACCACCTGAAGCGGCCGCCGTCGATCGCCCCAAGTGTGCCCGGGAGGACTCGAGGGGGGGCGGGGGGGGGGGGGGGGGATTCCGTGTTTTTTATTCCCTTTTCTTTGGGACGGAGGAATACCGTGCAGCTCGGCAAACGATGCACGACACACGCGGAGAGCGAGATAGGGACACTGAACCGCGATGGCCTGGCAGCTCGGGAGGCACTCGACTTGGCACCCTTAATCACTTGTCATCACCACCGCCGCCAACACAACTTCGAACCCTCACAACACAACACTGCAACACCGTCGGGGGAGAAAAGGACGAGATGGCGTTAAAGGGAGGGAGAGGGGAGGGCGGAGACAGAGGTCGTTACATAACACGAACATCTTGTGTAACAGCCGCCGTTACTGGCAGATCGGGAGGCTGCGAGTCAGTCGAGATCCCCCGAGGGCGGGCTCGCCGGGAGGGTCATCTCAGGAGCATCCTTTTGGGGCAGGTCACGAGGAGGGGGAGGGCGAGGAGAAGAGGGAATAAAAGGGAGAGAGAGAGAAGACGACGGGATATCTTGCTCCCGTAGGTGAGGCTCGGTCGGACGCAGACAACGAAAGGCACAGCCGTGGAAGTGTGTTTAAAACGGCATCTCTCCACGCGGCGAAGGAGCACTATCACTGGCGAGCTGTGGCGCCGACGGTAATTCACCGACGTAGAAATTCCCTTGATTTCCTGCCAGGAGAGCGCGCGGCGGCAGGCGAGGGCAGGCGTGAGCGGGCGTGAATGAGCGCGGGCGGCAGCGACTCACTGGTCCCGCGGGCACAGTGGCACGAGAGGTACTGGCTACCCCATACCCAGTGCCACCTGACCGCCACGCTCCGCCCTCCCTCCTCCGCCTCCCTCCTCTGCCCGACACCCCATTCACTCCGTTCTGAAATCCCTCCTGCGCTCCCTCATTAATCCCTTTATTACTGGATTTAACTGACGTAATGGTGTTGGGGAAGGGAGGGGGGAGGAGGGGGATGGAATGGGGTTGGGAAGGGGAAGGGGAGGGAGGGAAGCTGGTGGTTAAGTCGGAATCCACCGAGAGGCTCTTTACTTCACACACACACACACAAACAACAAACAATATAAACATCTTGCTGCACAACAAACAAAAGACGATGACAGAGCTACAGAAACAAAAAAAGAACACAACCATTAATAACCTCCACTACGAACGTAATTAAAACGATGAATCACCTGATTGTCATCATGAACAATCACCTTCACCTTCAAACATATATACACGCACATTGCACAAATATGCGCATATAAACAACCATTATGGTACAATCTAAACTTTCAAACTAAAACACATATACAACTGTATCACATACATACACATACAGACAAACATACATTCGAACAAATGCATACACACATACACGTACACAAATACATACATACAGACACGCGCACATACGCATCAACATACAAATACCCATACATACACACACAGACACAGACACAGACACACATACACCCATCACCTGTGATCCGATACCGAAGACCCACAATAAAAGGATGCGGGAAGGGTATGGGATAGGGGGTAGGGGTGGAGGTGAAGGGTGATGGAGAGAAAGATGGGAAGAGGGAGGGGGAGGGAGAGGAGAACAGGTATGATAGCATATGTTGAAAGCGGGATGAAAGATGGGAAGATGGGGAGGGGAGGGGGCTTGTGGGGGATGGGAAGGAGGAGGGGGGGGTAGCTGTATCTCCTGTTCCTCAAAAGATACCTATGTATGGGTGGGGAGATGAAGGATAGCGAGTCTGGTGGAGGGCGTGAGAGGAGAGGAGGAAAGGAGAAGGAAAGATTTTTGGGGGGGTGGGGAAGAGGAGAATTGAGGAAAGAGAGAAGGAGGGGAGGGGGGGAGGGAGGGGGAGAAGAAAAAGGATGAAGAGGAGGAAGAAGAGGAGGAGGAGGAAGAAAGAAGAGAAAAGAGAAAGACGAGGAAGAGAAGAGAGAGAAGAGGAAGAGGAGGGGGCAACAAACTGAATGAAGGTAAAAGAAAAGATAAAAAAGAGACAAAGTGTAGAGGAAGAAAGCAATTTTAGATGATATTAATAAGACAACGATTTTTAAAAACAAAAATTGAATCAGAGAATTTCCGAACCCCCACTGTACGCATCAGAAGGTCCTGCCCCCCCCCCCATATATATATATATATATATATATATATATATATATATATATATATATATATATATATATATAATATATATATATATATATAATATCTATATATATTAATAAATAACATTGTCAAAAAATAAATCAAATAAATAAAAAGCAAAAAAGTTACTCAAAAACATAACAACAAGAGAAGAATACTAAACAAAACAAGATATGTAACGAAGGAAAAGAGAGAGAAAAAAACCCTTGTCACGTGCAGGTGGTAGGCAGAGGTCACATGAAGGGGGTTGGGGAGGAAGGTGAAGTAGGTGGGTGGGGAAGGGGAGGGAGGGAGGGGGGGGGTTCTTCGGCGCGTGAGTCATCCCGTCCGAGATTGACTTACATTTCAGCCTAACCAACCTCCATCTCGACGCTGGCCTTGTCATTTTTTCCCCCTTCTCTGCCCTCCCGCGGGCGCCGTGTCGAGTGTCGCGAACTGGACCCGAACTCTCGCCACACGCTCTCTCCCTCTCTCACTCCTATTCCCTCTCTGTCTCTCTGTCTGTCTTTCACTCTCTCTCCCTCTCCCTCTGTCTGTCTGCCTATCTCTCTTCCACTCCCTCTCTTTCTCATTCTCTCACTTCTTCTCTTACTCTCCCATTCTATCTCCCGCTTTCCCTCCTCTCCCTCCCCCCCCCCCCCCAAAAAAAAAAGGAAAAAGAAAGAAAAAAAAATAGTATGTCCTTGTTTCGCAACGAGGAGGCGGAGGGATAAAGGTGATTATAGGTCAATCAGAAATATTAATTGCGGATCTCTTTCTATAGTCTTATCTATATCATCATCTCTTTCTTCTTCTTCCTCTACTTTTCTTCTTCATGTTCGTCTTCTACATTTTCCTCCTCCTCCTCCTCCTCCTCCTCCTCCTCTCCTCCTCCTTCCTCCTCCTTCCTCCTCCTTCTCCTTCTCCTTCTCCTTCTCCTTCTCTCTCCTTCTCCTTCTCCTTCTTCTTCTTCTTCTCTTCTTCTTCTTCCTTCTTTCTTCTCCTTTCTTCTTCTCCTTCTCCTTCTCCTTCTCCTTCTTCCTTCTCCTTCTCCTTCTCCTTCTCCTTCTCCTTCTCCTTCTCCTTCTCCTTCTCCTTCTCTCTCTATTCCTTCTCCTTCTCCTCTCCTTCTCCTCTTCTCCTTCTTCTTCCTCCTTCCTCCTCCTCCTCCTCCTCCTCTCCTCCTCCTCCTCCTCCTCCTCCTCTCCTCCTCCCTCCTCCTCTCCTCCTCCTCCTTCCCGTCTATTATCTTTACTTTTTTATTTCCCCTTTCCTCCACCTCGCCTGTTTCCTAATCAAGAAAAGAGCTACTGAAGTGCCACGGTTCAGGCATGACACGATAGAGCTGATGAACGAACTACAGGCTCTATGGAACGCGTCACAGAGCGCTCTAAATGAATAAGGAACGCCTCTCATGCACGATGATAGGCACTTTCTTACCCTTGATGAATGTGACGTCATTGTTTCTAAAAATAACAGGTCAGTGAACTCCATACGTAGGTGTAATAGCCCCCCCCCCCCTCCTATTCACTTCTCCTTTTCTTTCTCCTTTCTTCCCTTCCCCCTACTTCTCCCTCCATCTCTCTTCTTCCTCTCCTCCTACTTCTCCCTATCTCTCTTCTTCCCCCCTCCTCCTACTTCCCCCTCTCTTTCTCTTCTCTTCCCCTCCCTAATTCCCCTTCTCTTTCTCTCTCCTCCCTCCCCTCTTTCCCTTCCTCGTCTCCTCACTCTCCCTCTCTCTCTCCTTCCCCTCCCTCCACACACCCTGATCCTCTCCCTCCCTTCCCCCTCTCTCGTATCCCCCTCCCCATTCCTCAGTTTCACCCCGGGAGCGAGTGTTGACAGCCATATGCGAAAAAAATATGTGATTAAATAAATGCAAGAGCAAAGCAAAACAACAAATAACAGGGTAAGAGAACGCGGAAGTAAAAAAAGGAGAATGGGAAGTAGAGAAGTAAGGAATAAGAAGAAGAAAGGAGAAAAGAAAGAGAGCCAAAGGAAGGCTTAGAGAAAGAAGAGAGAAAAAAAGGAGGAAGAGAGAGAGAGAAGAAAAAAAACGAAATGAGGCCAAAACAAAAAGAGCAGATAACAAAAACAACACAGGCGAAACAACCGAACTTAATCGAAGCTCCAAAAATTGAAAGTAAAAAAAAAAAAAAAAAGAAAAAAAAAAAAAGGGGCTCTCAACTTTGTCTCTCTCAAAGACATTCCAACGCGGAACGCCGGAGTGGAAAGAATTGTCAACAACAACAAAGTTCAAACACGACAACGCCAACCAATAAAAACAACAACAATAACAAAACGAAAGCTCCTCCCCTTTTCCTCCTCGCCCCCCCCCCCAAAAATATAGACCACTAATAGTAATCAACATCTGTTTAAAAGAAGACATAAAATGCCATAAAATATATGAATTTCGAGCAGTAGTATCAGCGCCCACTCAACGGAGGCGATGATGCAACGATAGAACCGGATGCAACAACAAGGGGAGAAGAAGGATAAAGAGAAGGGCGGAGGAGGAGGTGAAGGAGGAGGGAGGAAGGAGGAGGAGGAGGAGGAGAAGTGGAGGAGGAGGAGCAAGTGGAGGAGGAGGAAGTGGAGGGGAGATGGGACGAGGAAATGGAGGGGAAAGAGGAGGAGGAGAGGAAGAAGGAGGTGCAGAAAAGTAGCAGAAGTAGAGGAGGATCAGCAGAGAGGAAAAAAAAAGAAGGATAAAGAGGAGGGCGGAGGAGATGGAATATGATGATGATGGTGAAGGGAGGAAAGGTTCAAAGATTAAGATAGCGATGGTGATAAGGAGGCAGAGGGGAAGGGGTAAGGGATGATTATCGGAAGGACAGGAGGAAAAAGAAGATCAAAAATAAGAAAAAGAAGAAAGACCGACGGAAAGGAGGGAGGATAAATAAAAAGTGAGAGAAACTACCCTTCGAGTGGCACTTCCGACGCGTGATAAAATAAATGGGGAAGCTGAAAATTTGAAAATAAACGGCAGAACCTAAACACACACTCTCGCTCCTCGCCCCCCCCCTCCCCTCCCCTCCCTCGGTACAATGGGGCAGTAAGAGGTTAAGAGAAGGAGGAGAGGGAGGAGGAGAGAGGAGAGAGGAGGAGGAGAGAGGAGAAGGAGGAGGAGGAGGAGGAGAGGAGGAGAGGAGGAGGAGGAGAGGAGGAGAGGAGAGGAGGAGGAGGAGGAGGAGGAGAGGAGAGGAGGAGGAGAGGAGGAGGAGGAGGAGGAGGAGAGGAGGAGGAGGAGAAGAAGAAGAAGAAGAAGAGGGAAAGGAATATGGTGAAATAGAGGATGAAGATAAGGTGGACGAGAGAGGAAAAATGAATAGGAGGAAAAACAGAATGAAAAATACAAAGGTACAGAGAAGGAAAATAAGAAGGTTGCAGACCACAAAAAAAAAAAGATCGGGGAAGGAAAAAATAAAACTGCCAGCCCCCCCCCCCCCAATTACCAATCAAACACCTCGACTCCAATCCCCCGCTAATCCCTCCCAATCCCAACAAACACCCCCCCCCCCCCCCGTCCCACCCTCCCCTTACTCTTCCTCCCAAAAATCAACCAAATTCGATCCGCGTTGTTCACAACCCTAAAACGCCCCGAAATGTGGTTTTAATACCACCAAAGACGACCGAGCTCTCTC